GGAGGGGGAGGGGAGGAAAGAGAGAAGAATGAATCGGTATAAACTGCTATATTATTTAGTACAAATTCTTATCCCACATGCCACAACTCCGTTCTCCTGTTAAATTGTCTTCTATTTAGCTCATCTCTTCCGGTGATGGAATCTCTTTGCATGCTGATCCACCCTAACTTAGACATCAATAAATGTCTCCTGTAATTTCATTGAGTCAATAGACTCAATGTAAAGAAAGGACTTTGTGGTCAGCTTAGTAATGAGTAGCTTGCCTGCTTCCCACTCTCCTCTGCCTTGCGTTCCTTTCCTCCCTACTTTTGCTGTCCTGTTAGTTCCATACTTTATTAGCACACCGGAGAATGAAGGAAGGTCTTTTAAATCTTAAGCCTGAGCTCCCTTCTCTACACTACAATGACCTGCTGTGCGCCCTTTGCACTGGAGCTCACAAGACTAATCACCCTGAAATCTAGCCTTTGTTCTCCTCAATGTCATCACAGCCTTGTCAGATGCCTTTCTGAGTCCCAAAACACATTCTCAGCATCTCACCTGGATCCCGAACCTTGGCTTACTATGTGCAATACTGCTGCATTGCTTAGTCCTGCAAGGCAAGGTTTCAGTGTTCCTTAAGACGATGCAGCCTTCTTGCCTAAGACCTGAGAAGATCCAGCCTGATCAGAATAAGATTACAAAGGGCACGTGCGCAATCTTACATCTGATTTGCCCACTTGCTCCTCCCATCTACAGTGTTGTTCCCACCTATTTACTGTCGCTGATTAACAAAGGTCCTCTAAGGCCAAAGTTTAATGTCACCTTTTTGAAGCTTTTGCTGATTAGCTCGGCCAGAACTTCCCTCATTTGCATTCCTATTTGCTCGTAGGTACCTTGCGCCCGTTAATGCTACCCTAATATTACTCATCTTGCTTACTGTCGGGTAGAGCTCAAGCTTCTGGTGGGCAGATGTCGTTTAATTTGCATTTAATTTGCATTCTCAAAGTGCTTTCTACACGGTTGGTGGTAATATTTATTGAATGTCTAAGGGAATCTTTTCTATTCCACTTGTCTGAGCCTTTATAACTGCTTTCGTTCGATTGCTTGGCATCATGATAGTTTTAGTCTCAAATCCTACACTTCCTTCAAAATACAGCAGTCTCCCAAATTCATAAATCATTATTTATGACCTTCTTAATGCTCATGTGCTTACAGCCTGTAGTTTATTGATGTATATGACTTAACATCATTTTCTAGTTTATAAGGACGGTCTTAAGCAGGTGAGCACCTTTGATTTGGAAAGTGTATCTTCTGCTGTGACTTGCATAGTATTGGAACTGGTTAGCACTTAAATCATTATTGTTTTCAAGATCAGAAAATCTTCTAGTCCAACTCTGATTCGGAAGACAGGGAACACCTGAGTAGGTATGTATGCATGCAGGTATGCCTACAATGCTTCCCACACTCTAGAGCCTTGTATGTGCAAGGCTGTCGATCAACTTTGTGTACAAGGACCAGAAATCCAATAGGTAATAAATGGGTAATAAATGCTCATGATTTTCAGATTATAGAATTTATGGAGATAAATATTTTACTATTCTTGCTTTAAGTACATTCTCTCCATTTTTTATGACAGTGGGGACATAGTCACTAAAATATCATAAATGCACATCTGACAATTGTCTTTGAATACTAAATAAAGCAACAATGTCATGGAGCGTTGCCTTGAAGATTCTTAAGATTCAACATCCTTAGAATTTATACATAATCTTGTAACAGAACACCTTTTTGTGTTGCTTAAGCCTCACCTCAAAAATGAGAGGTTAAAAGTAAAAATCCCAAGGAGACTGGTCTGAGTTTGAGCCCGGCCTGTATCCAAGAAGAAACAGTACCCAATAGTCTTCCTACGAAAATGACCGCACTCTATAATCTTTGTTAAGTGCCATCATTTAAAATTCAGGTCAGAGATTAATGAGAAAAGTGTTACTTACACTGTTTCTGTGAAAGGAAATTCACGGCTGTATTATAAAAAAGATAAAATGCGAAGCAAGATCTCTGCATTAAGTGTCAGTTAATTATCATTCTGACAGAAATAATTATCACTGTGCCCTAAGTCCCGAGAATGAAAACAAGTTGCTTGAATGCCCTTGATTTATGTTAACTTGTAATACATTTTCATAACACAGATATGTTCATCTTTGAAAACTAAAAAAAATGACCTTCAGTTCCTCAGGTATTTTTTTTCAACACCGCTCGTAGTGACATGATGGTAGATTCATACGAGATATTCAAATTACTTTGTTTTTAATTTCCTTTTTCAGTTTCGGGATTGAACCTAGGGCTTCATAAATGCTGGATAAGCACTCTACCATTGAGCGACATCCCAAGTCCCACATTACACTTTTCACTTATAGCTTTGCCAATAATTTATCAGAGATCTGATGTCATTGGCGTCTAGTTTTCTACTGATCTAGATCTTGCAGTCCAATGCAGTGCCACCAGCTCTGACTTCATTTGTAAATCATGTGTATCTGGACATTTTAAATGGATAGTGCTCCTTGGGGAAAAATAACTGTAGAATCTGCTCAAAAATAACCATTTATGTATTTTGTGTAATTATTTCAAAATACAATGACTCAAATTTTGGTAATAGTTCATGTGTAGCTGAGATGATCCTCCAGTTATAAGATACTGATCTTGATAAAATACCCTAAGCTGAAAATATTGTTGAGTCAAAAATGTAGTTACTACACACTGCTGACCTGAGCAGTCTAGGTTAACACCACTGTACCACTACTTTTCACATCTGGGCTCACAAGGTTGACTGGAAACTGCAATCACTACTGCTGCCTAGCTTATCACTAGCGAGGGAAAAGATCTAAACCCCAAGTCGCTTCTACAGAATACCTTCTTTCGCCTCATCATGGAGTTTGAAAACCTTAAGTTGAATTAAGTCGATGACTGACTACATTAGGAAAACACTTGAAAAGTCACATTAAAACAAGAAAGTCATTAGTATTAATGATATGTACATAATGCAATGAATCCTGAGACATACAAAGTATGAAATAAGACTAAGTCATCCTAGACCACTATGAAATTTCCAAGAGGAAATCCAAGTGTATTATGACATTTAATCCATGGTTAAATGTAGGAATCCTTCAAATTAAGAATATTTTATTTAAATTACAAAAGTGTAAGCATGCATTTAGAGAACTCATATAGACATAGACAATATGGTGATAGTGATGCTTACTCTGCCTTAAAATGTTAGGCCACAGGGCTAGAAAGATGGCTCAGGGGTTAGGGGTTAAGAGCACTGGCTGTTCTTGCAGAGGTCTTAGGTTCAATTCCCAGCACCCACATGGCAGCTAACAACTGTCCACAGACCCAGTTCCAGGGGACCCAACACCTCCTTTTGACCCCCGCAGGCATTGCACAACATGGTGTACTTACATACATGCAGGCAATACACTCATACACATAAAATTAAAAAATAAAAATATTAAAATGTTAGACCAAAGTATAATACAAGGTCATGTCACAAAGCTAAGACTATAACTGAGAAATTGGATAATGGAACTCATTTTCAAGAACTATATTGTTAGAGCAATATAGCTTTTATAATTGAACTTTCTGGGATTCTCGCATTGAGGTGCATACTATTTATGAGAACTTCATTACCTAGGCTGCAGAAATGTACTAAAGTAAAAGCATGTGTCCAAAACATTGTCACAGCCTGCCTGCAAATGGAGCACCTGTTGGCAATCCTAATTAGGAGTAGGACAGGTAGATGGGGTGCCAGCCAGGTGCCTTTTCCAAAGTCACAGAAATGATCCTTGGATTGCTGTGGGGGGGGGGGTCTCCAAACTCCTACAACACTTTTTCATGTTGTAGTCTTATTTCATTCATGTACTTGGTCTTCACAAAGCCTTCAAAATTGTGAATACACTGCCTAATAATGTGCTAAATATTCAAATTCCAACATTAAAGCATTTTCCACCTAAACCCAGCACCTGCAATCCTTAGATAAGGCAAGTCGCTGAAGTAATTAATGACTGTGCTAGCCTTCCCTGCCATTTTTCTGAATGACTGAGAGCTGGATTTCTCAGGGTGGGAAGTAGCCATTTCTAAGGAGAGACACTTAGGTGAGAGGTCTTAAGCTTTTCCCTTAAATGTTGGATCCTTTGGGATGTGGTGCTGGACAGAGTGCTTTACATGTAAACAGATCTGACAAACAGGAACCCCTGGCTAATGAACAGCTCCTAGTGGAGCCTGGGAGGCAACTTCATGATTCTCATCCACAGCAAGTTCTCGGGACCATTTTTTTCACTTAATTTCCATTTATCAGTTTTTCATAGCCACAATGAAGAACACTGCTCATTTCAAAGTCTGCTACATGTATTTATAGCAAGTGTTCTTAAATATCCAATCCTCTAATAAGTAAACAGCTACAAAAAAATTTTACATCTTTTAAACTTTTTATGTGTATGCATGTATTGCCTGCATGTAGGTAAGTGCACCCGTGTCGTGCAATGCCCGCGGAGGTCAGAAAAGGCTGTTAGATCCCCTGGGACTGAAGTTATGGACAGTGGTTAGGTGCCATGTGGGTGTTGGGATTCGAACCTGGGTCTTCTGCAAGAACAACCAGTGTTCTTAACTGCAGAGACATCTCTCCAACCTCCAAATTTTACGTCTCATAACTTGGAAACGGGTCACAGTTGTTGGGCTCTAGCCAGTTCCACAGGGAGAGAGACCACTAAAACCTGGCCTATCAAAACCAAGGGCTGATTGTGAATGGCACAGAACTTGGAGCTACTCTCCCCAAGCAGATGACAGATCACTGGAGGTTTAAGGACAGCACAACTCACAGCATTCGTAAAGTCAGTTTTACTGAAACATTTCATAACACAGAAAATCTGTCTGAAGTGTGAAGTTACTGTCTTACACAAGAAGGACAGATCCATTTGCAAAGACTATATGAATACAATAAATATGGGGTTTACATACTAATTTATACACAGAAATTCTGCCCCACAGCCATAAAAATTTATATTTAACAGTGCAACATATAATTTAATCATTTATTTGACGGGATCTTACTGAACACAAATAGCTACCTGGTTTTCATATACATATAGAACACATTTGTATGTATATATTCAACAATCTGTACAGTTTCTAAACATAAAACTCCTAAAAGGCACAATTGTCTATACAACATGTACAAAAATGGCTGGAGCTGACACATAACAACAATTATTGGTCAAAAGTTCATGATTGCACAAAGATTAGTCATGAGTTTATGTCAGAAAAATGTGCTTTAAGGTTTTTCAAAGAAACCTGTGTTATTAAAAAAAAAAAATCAATAGAAAATAAACCCCTAGGTTGCGATGACAAGCCTGTCCTCATCGTCGTCGCTGCTCACGTCGCTGAAGTGCACAGTGTGCTGCCGGGCAGCGGAGGGCCTGGCAGGTCTGTCTGCAGGGGGAGCCTGGGGGCCGGAAGCAGGGGCCGTGCGCAGAGCGTCCTGCGTGGGCACCGGCTGCGCCTGAGCAGAGGGGAGTCCGGGCAGCATATGACTCGCAGGGTGAGCCTTCCTGGAGTCCGTTTTGCTCGGGCCTTCGGACCCTGCGGGGTCAGCCGAGAGCGCCTGTAGGCGGGGCGCCGTGGCCTCCTGAGGGCCTTCTGGCTCCTGGCCTTTGCAGCCGGGACCCGGGGTGTCGGGAGCCGCAGGGGCGCCCACGGCCAGCGGGCTGACTGTGGGGATGAGGGCTGGCAGGGCGATGTTGAGGATCTGCAGGCCCGGCAGGTGCGCCTGCGGGGCGGGGCTGCTCTGCGCCGGGGCCCTGGCCAGCACCTGCAGCCCCACGTTGAGAGGCCCCACGCCGCCAAGGGCCAGGCCCGGGGGGTGCACCTGCGCGCCCACGCTGGCGTTGGCCAGGCCCACGAGGTTCACGGTCTCCATGCCCAGCGGCGCCAGGCCCGGGGGGCTGAGGCTCTGCAGGCCCGGCACGCGGATTTGGCCAATGGGGATGCATGGCACAACGCTGCTCAATTCGGCCACTCCCGCGGAGGGATTTGTGGTGCCAGAAACTTCCGTGACGGTATCCCCGGGAGTGCCCACGGTTCTATGAATGACACTCACCGCAGGGATGGTAAGCTGCATTGGCCCGGCCTGAATGGGTACAAACGTGGAGTAAGTGAGGCCGGCAGGCACCACGTGGATTCCCCCCACGGGAACCATGTTGTAAGGGGTCCTGGATGGCTGCTGGGAATGCAAGGGGAGGTGGCTGAACAAATGTGTCTGTGGGGAGGGCAAGCCTGGAGGCGGGTGCAAGGTTATTTGCTGCTTCTGTTCTTGACTATCAGGACGCGGGGAGGCTGTCGGCTGAGGGCCGAGCTGGGCGACAGCAGGAGGCAGTCTCACAGATGGCAAATCCTAGAAGACAAGAGAGAGTGAGCCTTTGAAGGTAAGGCCTGCTGATCACAGCTCCAATGCCAGTGCTGAATTTGTGCTTTCCAATGAGGTAAGAGGATATATTTGTATTTATAGTTCTTAGCTTGCTAAAAAATTATGTTGTGGCTTTTAGAAATAAATGTTCAAGAACTAAAAATTTCATTTTTAACTGTTTCCTAGTATAAATAACAGGAACACATTTTATATAGTAATTTACATTTTTCAAACCAATTTCCTGGGTATCATTATACTTTATGCTGATAAATGAACATGGTTTTTATGGTGTTGATATTCTGGCAGTGCCAGCCCCACTTTATTTGAGTGATCAGGAACTGTTGAGAAACTGCCATATTACTGGCTGTTAGCATCAACTCAACTGGGGAAAAATTAACCGAAAGATCATTCATTCATGAAATGAAGGCTTATTATTAAGACAGAGGTCTGCAGTTGCTCATTTATTTGCTCAGTCATTCATGTAAGTTCATGAAATGTCTACTGAACACCAGATTTTCAAGCACTGGCAGCTGTATGAGAGATTTTGGGATACTTCAGCCTTAGAGCATAGATGAACAATTTTAAGCAACATTGGAAGGGATAAATCTTGCCCAGCCTCCCTCCCATGAGTTTTATATAAGTATTAGCCTTTTCTTGATTTCATATATATATGAAACTGCATTATTAATATACATAATTTAATTTTTATATTAAAAGTAAATTAGTGTAGGCTAGACAGTCTATAGAAATCTTAAATTTTATTATCTCTCATGCAGAATGTCCCATTTAGAAATAAACCCCACCTACCACATTATTGAACACATAGGAAAGAGAATAGTCAGTGGGAGAAGAATACATTTTCCCCAGACTTCTGTGCCTCTTTGGAGCTGGGTGGCCCTAAGCTAGCTCCTAGAAGGAAACTTTCCCAGGCTGTCCCAGCGATTTAATGATCCAAACAACATGTACTCTTGAAATGTTTTGGGTCAGGTTAGCTTTGTGAAGAAAACTAGCTTTTTTGCGACTACGTAATAGCAAAGCATAAAATATGTATAATGTGTTGCAGACTAACCATGTCTACACCAGTGGAAAAAACACAGAGCAAACCCTTGGATGCTTAAGTCTCGGGATATGAATTTATAATTGGTACATACATACTTTATTGTCACTTTTAAAAACAAAGAATAAATGAGTATTTTTAAAGAGGCACCACGGATTTATAATACAAAATGTGAAATCTGTCAAGATACTTAACAAGGCGTCAACAGACATAAGTTCTGCCACTGAATGTTAACCAAAAGGTACAGATTTGGTTGTAAGTAATTGTTTAGGGGCATTAGTATATATAATGCACTGAGAGAGAAGAAAAAACCACCACCATTCATCTACCTGTGAAGTGACAGCCTTTCCAGCCAAAGGACTTCTCAAAACTTCAGATTCAGGGTACTCCACAGACATCTGATGACAAGGGGACCTGGGGGCGGCTTCGGGGGACCTGGAGGTATCTACAGAAGGAGCTATTCCATCCTCGTCTTTTGCTGCATGCTGCCTGGCCTTTGCTGGTGAGTCTGTCCTGCTGGAGTCCGTCTGTACTGTGCTCAGAACAGTCATCTTGGTGAGTAAAGCTTGAGGCAGAATGTCCATTGGGTCCGTGTGTACCCCCAAGAAACAGTCAGGAACCCTGAGGTCCTCTTCCCCACTCCCAGGATCCTGAAGGCCATTTCTGCATGGAAGATGCTGTGGGCTGGCTGTGACCGAGGGTGCTGCGGACAGGCCAGATTCTGCCTGACTGTCCTCATCATCCTCTTCATTGTCAATATCATCCTCATCTGGACCATCAGATTCTTCAAGGTCATATCCAGACTGCTCATAACTGAATCTTTGCTTTTCATCTAGTAAGACAACCAAAAGAATTTGTTATAGAATGTTCTACAATCAAACAAACACAATGTTTCCATTTTAGAAGCTTGCTGACACTATGAGGTTCACAGGAGATGGGGCGGCCCAGAGCATACAGGAGCACACACTCTCAAGAGGATGACAAGGAGGGGCAGTCAGGCAAGCAGCAGCAGCCTGAGATAGCATGAGACTCAGGGCCACAGCAGGGGTGGCAGGAACACAAAACACCTCCTAAGAGCGGTGGACAAGCAGAGGGGACAAAAAGAAAAACAGTGACACACAAAACAAAAAGGTAACTAAGTCCTCCAACATACTAGAAAATTCCTTAGGTCTGACAAAAATACAAAGAGTTTAATTGTTCCTAAGCCTTTTCTCTATTTTTTTAAATCTTCGTTTTATTAAAGAAAGTGCTATTAGCAAAAGCAATGAGTCTTTCTGTAAGAAACAGTATATTTTAAAATGAAATGGAGATCTTTTTTAAAGGTTAAAAACTCATTTAATTTTATGTCTTACAGGGCTTATACTCAGTTATAATATATATAACTGTATTAATTCAACAGTGAACCTAAAAATTTTATAGCCACTTTTGAAAGAGATGTATCTTTGCTCTGGAAACTGTTACTGAGTATGTTAAAGCTGTAATGAAATGCTTCTTCTAAAAAATAAAAAAATATATATATAATAAAAAAATAAAATATAAATTAAAAAAAGAAATTAACATATAAACATGATATTGGATTTTTGAGCAAAATAGTTTAAATTTCAGCTGTATTGAAGATACGTTTTCATTGATCTCAATAATAATGCTCATCTGGTATATAAAGCTTTATTCATTTTTTGTACCTGGCATATGCATGCGGGCATATGTGCATGTGTACATGTGTGTATGGATGGATGCTCATGTAGGTACATGTGGAGGCCAGAAGCTGACATCAAGTGTCTTTCTCAATCACTTTTCCATCTCATTTTTTGAGACAGTTTCTCACTAAACCTGGAACTTGCCATTTCCTCTAGACTGCTGGCCAGTGAGCTGTTCGGATCTGCCTGCCTCCACCTCCCAGTGCTGTGGTTATAGGCACATACTGCTGCACCTAGCTGATTTTCACACGGATGCTAAGGATCTTACCTCTAGTCCTCATGCTCACGCAGCAAGAAATTTACCCACTGAACCATCTTCCCAGAACCCTCTTTTTAAAAGTTTACTGAGAGGTGCTAAAATTTCCTGTCAGCTGTTTCTATGATTTGACCTGACCCATTTCTTTCAAGAAGGGAAACATTATCTAAAAATCATGAATATGGACATCACTGTATCACATGAAATAGGCTTTTTCAAGGACTATTGAAGATGGTTCAAGTGATAGTGTTACAGTTCTCATGTACTCATGTGGGACTTGGTTTAAAAACTTTACCTATCTAGAATGCAAATTATAAAGTTCATATTTAAGGGGGATGGAAGACATCTCCCATAATTCTCTGTCACCAACTCATATGGTCACATACAGTTTGTGATACATTGTGCACTTTTATCTGCAAGACCATTTCTATTGATTTCAGAGAACTGTGGTCCAAAAAGTATTAAAAAGAATTCTAGAAAATAGTAAATTTTATCCTATTCATGGTTCTGGGCAGTGTGATAAAATCCTGCCCCCTCTGCCCTCTCTTGCCTGGAAGTGGATCAGCTCTTTGTCTGGTGTAGGACAAACACCTAGATTCTTATCAACTTGGTTCCTGTCTTGGTAATAGGATGTACAGAACATCAGGTACTATCAAGTGGGCTGTTGTAGTATTGCAACACAGGATAATTCTTAGTCCAGAGACTGCCATAAGAAGGGTGAATGCAATGCTGAAAGTGCCCAGAGAGAAGCACCACATAACTTTTATTATCACAGTACATTGCTGTGCTTGTTCTAGTTTATGAGTTATTGTTTCTAATTCCTGTTGTGCCCAATGTATAAGTGAAACTATCACAGGTATATATACAGAAGAAAAAAACAGTGCATAGAGCATGCAGTGTTGTCTGAAGTTTTGGGTATCCATTGGGATTCTTGGGCAGTATTACCTGTAGAAAAGGGGAACCTACTTCCTATTTTTTGAAAATGGAAAAAAATAAATAGGCAATAGATATTTTACTGGGTTTCTCAAGCATTCATTTTTTTTAATATTATTCTTTCTACATGGCAAAGATAAGTTCTTAGAGAAGTCTTATGGGATTTATGTACCAAAACACTAGAGAGTGATTTCTAGGACACAGAAAGGAGTGAATGTTTCTGTATCATGGATATGCCTAATTTTTATATTTAAGGTAATCAAAGATAAGATATGCATTTAGATTTATTTCCAAGGTTCTACTAATATATCGTCAAGTGAATAGAGTAACACTCAGGGTACATGCTGGAATGGGGGACTTCTGGATAAGTAAGTCACCTGGACTCCAAATGCCTCAGACTTATATTGTATTTCCAATTCTAAAATTAGAGGCCATCCTCAGCTTGACTCAACTTTGCCACATTGGCGCCAAATCAGATCTTTTAAAGTGAGGAACAATGAATGACAAGGACTTGGATGGCCAGAGAATGAGCTACTGAAGAAGGAGATTTTATCAAAGGTCAGATGGCTGCCAAGTATAGCTGGGCTGGTCCTGCTTTACCCTGAAAGCTATTACTTCCTAAACATGAGTAGGCCAGACTGTAAATTCATGACTTTTTCCAAATTCAGTGAAGAGCTCAAGTTCTCAGCAATTCAACAGTCCAAATCTAAGGATACTGTCTACAAGGAAAGACACATAAGATTGTGTCACCCAGGATAGGGGTAACAGGACCCTGGCCAGTTCATCTAAAATAGTTGACAGAATAAAATTTTTTTTTTTTCAACAGGTGTCAGTTGGCAGGACTGTGACACCTCTGGGGCCCATTAAGCTCTGTGTAGAGACTGCTAAATAGTGCCTACTATGGCCCACATCTGGGAGAAGAGCAGCAGCCTCCTGGAGGGAGGCTGGGCCAAATAACTTCACCTGAATTCTGTTTCTCTTTCCACTGCAGAAACAAAGCCTTATCTAGTAAGAAAGAGGACCATAAGCACTGCTAACCTTGGGGCACTGATGAAAATTCACTAATGGGGAAGGGTAACAGGAGGAAACAGATCTTGGCTCCTTGGGGAAGAAAAAGACTTATGGCAGAGCCTAGGGAGGACTAGCAGACTTGGGTCAGCCAGACCCCTGAAAGGTAAGAACATGGTGCACATATGGAGACCAGTCAGAGTAGAGATGGCACACTATTTTCTTTCTTACATCCAGTGCCAAGCTAAGAAATTCTGAAGGATGGCTACCAAGATAAGAAAAGGCAAGAAGGTACAGAGATTGTTCTAAAACAGCCCCACAGGAAAACCTCACACTGGAATACTGAATGAATATATTGTTCTTATAAATCAACCCCTAACCTCCACCCAAGCATATTATGTCTTTAGAGGAACAGGAACCTCCAGTGCAGTGAGTACAGGCACAACGAACGGCCAGAGATCTCGAGGTGACCACTGATGGCCTGGCGGAAAGGATAGCTACTCCAAGCAAAAGGCATACAACTTTACCATGGAACATAAAAATGTCCAACTTTTAACACAAAATTGTAAAGCACACAAAAAAGGAATCCTGCTCTCCAAACACTTTAAAGAGACAAACCAACCTTTGGAACTAGAGTCAGATATGTCACAAATATTAGAACTGATGTAATTTAAAATAATTATGAATAGTATATCCAGAGTCTTAACGGGAAAAGGTGGATAATATGCAATGTTCAATGTGAATTTTGGTTGATAGATGAAAACTATAAAAGTGAAAGAGATACAGATGTTACAAAAACAGGATGGTCGTGCACACCATGAATTCTAGTTCATTAAAAGGCTGACGCAGGAGACGTGAGTGCTTTAGACCAGCCTGGGCAACAAAAAGAGACCCTCATCTCAAGCAACACAAAGCTAAGAATTTAGCTTAGTGGTAGAGTATTTGCTTAGTGTTTGTGAGAAGCCCTATATTCAATCCCCAGTATCACACATACACAAAAATTGTGAAATAAAGTGAAAAAACAAAATGCTAGTTAAAAAACACTAATGATGGCAGTAAGGAAACTGTCAAACCAGAATTCTATAGCCACTGAAAATGACTTCCAGAGATAGAAAATCTGCACTCACTGCTGGAGGAAGGTAGATAACTTAGGAAAAAGTGACTTAGTCACTTAGGAAAAAATGTGGCTCTTTCTTCCAAAGCCAGAAATAGTATCACTCAGAGATTCAGTTCCTAGGTATCAAACTAACCTAAATTTACACAAAAGTGTTTACAGCATAATTTCCAAAAGTTGGAAGCAACTTGGGTATCTTTCAGAGGGCTGGTGGACAAGGTGTGGCACATTACTGTGATGGAATACAACTTAGTAATAAAAAATGAATTACTGACTCAAAACATGCTCTTTATGTTTTGCTAAATGAAAGAGATCATGGTAGGACTGGCTCTGATCTCAGCAGACCGCCAGAGAGTGCCTAGTTCTGGCCTCCCTCTGGCCTCCCACTGGCAGAGGGCCTGAACGCAGGAGACTGCCTGAGAGCCCCCAGGATCACATGCCTCCACATGGCGGCGAGCTTCCCCTAATTGTGCCAAACCCATCACCCTACCTGGGATTTTGTGATGCCCCTTTCAAGGCCTCAGGGCAGATCTGGCTTTGGTAGGCTCTGAGATCCTACCAGACAGCCTCAGGTTGAGGCTAGCAGACAGCCTCAGAGGGTGGGTTTCAGCCTCCATTGGTGTAGTGGCTCTGATCTGAGCAGACGGCCAGAGAGTGCCAAGTTCTGGCCTCTCTCTGGCCTAGGGGCTGAGAATGCAGGGTACTGCCTGAGAGCTCCCAGATCCTGCCTCCACGTGGTGAAGGAAACCTGAGTGTACCTGACTGGAACCGGAATTGGGCTTCTGTGGGTACTTCTGAATAGCTGATCTGACGCCACCAGTTCC